ACGCGCCACCCCCTCGTTTCTCCGCAGTACTCGCCCGGGATGACCATGAGCGTGTGATGGGGTAGCAGCCCCTTGCCCACTGCCAGCCGCCTCTGCCCAGAGCCCCTGCCCAAGGCCAAGGGTCAGGGGCCCCAGTGGTCTAAAGGGGGAGGGTCTGAGGTCATACCTCGGGCAGCTGGACTCCTGGCCAAGGCTTGGAGGCCCACATGAAGGACTCTCATTTTATTAAAAACAAAAACGCAAGGACCTCAGAGATGCTCTTTTCTGTATGGGCCCAACTCTCCTCCCTCACCCGTTTCTATTTTGTCCTGGGAGACTCCTTGGGGACCTCCTTTTCCTTGGACAGTAAGGGGTGGGCCCCCATCAATAAATGTAACTTGTTTTGGTTTTGGTGTATGGTCTTGATTACTTCACTGTGGCTTGCAGCCACACCCTCCATATCCTGGGGGTCTCAGCCCCACTTTCAGGGGGGTTCTGGAAAGTCCCTGAGGGTTGGGACAAGTTTTGAAGGGTAGATAGGAGTCTTTGCCAGGTGAAAAATTGGGAGGTGGTTAGGGTTAGGTCAAAACCCCCCAAACCCACAAGTGTGGCTGATAGTGGCAATGCCTTTATTGTCTTTGGGGAGGCCTGGAAGGGTGGGTCCAGAGAGGCAAAGGGGGTAGGAGTTGCTGGGAGCTGTATGGCCACCACCTCAGGCGGTGGCCACATGCTCAATTTGCTTGCGGCTGGGGCGTTCCATCTTGTGCTCCAGAAGCATGTGGTTCTGTGGTGGAAGCCCCACACAGGCCCTGGAGGATGGTGGGGAATCAGCAGGACCTCCAAACCCTAGGGCCCTGTGACCAGCCCAGCCCTGAGTGAGCATAGGACTACGGGTAGGGGCCCCCCAGGTAGGGCACACCTGAGGATGTTCTCAATGCAGCTGCGCTGTCGGAAGAGTGAGTTGACCACAGGGCTTCCCGGTGGAGCCAGCGGTGCTTTGAAGAGGAAGCCCAGCAGTGACAGCATGGGGTGGAAGCCCTGAGGTTCCGGATCTGAGTCAGTACAGAAGCTCACCCGCTGGCACAGCTCTGTCAGCAGCGCCAGGTCCAGCATAATAGGCGCAGCCAGGAGTGAGTCCTGCAGGGCCAGTGGGTCAGGTGATGGGTGGCATGGGCAGGTGTGGGGGATCCCACTCCTGCCCCCATGCACTCCGCACCTCGCAGGTATTATGCAACACCAGCGTGTTGGTGCCGCCCAGCATCAGCTCTGATGTATATTCATCCATTGCGCGTTTGCTGTCACCTACATATGGCACGTACTTGATAACCACCTGTGGGGCGGCATGGGGTCACACAGGTCTCCCTCCTTGGCCAGGTGATGCCCCCCACCCCTCCATCCCCTGCCTGCATCCCACACACGCAGTGGTCGGGCTCCTCGCCAGGTGCATAGAGCACCGGGTTGCTCTGCACCATGTCGTCCACCACACTGCTCTTGGACACCTCCTTGGAATGGAACTGCGGCGGCGCTGACAGGTTCTGCCCATCATTGTTGCCCAGGTGGTTGTAGCTCACGATGGACATGGTCTACAGGAACAAGGGGCACGCAGATGCTGCAGACCCCGCAATGCAAGAGCCCCAGAGCTTGGAATTAGACCCCACCCCCTGAGCCACGTTCACCCAGGTCCACGTACCCCCCAGGTTCACGCACCTTGAGGCCAGAACTGATAAGGAAGTCAACCAGCACAGACTTGACCTTGGTCTGACCTGACTTGAAGTCATCTCCGCCCACAAAGACACGGCGCTGCCATGCGAGCTCAAGTGCGCCAGGCACCAGAGTGTTTTGCGGGGACCCATTGAGAAAGGCGCAGCCCTCCAAGATGCTGGCTACAGCGAAGAGTGTGGAAGGTGACACCTCCAGACCTAGCTGAGGGCGCAGACAGTCAGTCAGTGGAGGGGTCCTTGGGGCTGACCCTGACCATGCTCCACTCTGGGGTGCACCCACCTGGATGGTACGCAACAGGTTTTCAGCAGTGTCATTCAGGCCTGGGACCAGTTCGCAGAAGCGCTCCGTATTCGCTGTCCACAGCACGATGACTTTGTCCAGCCCCGCGCAGGACCGGAAGTCACGGATATCCCTGCGGATCTGCTCCAGCTACGGAGGGGGGTAGGTAGTACAGGCTCCCTGACCTGTGGAGGCCTGGACTACTCAGCTCCCCAAGTGCAAAGAGGGGCCGGGACCCTCGGGATGGGGCATGGGGACAAAAGGGGAACAATGCAGGGGCAAATGGGGAACAGGTAGCGGGTGAGGGGCAAATAGTAGTGGGAACAAGTGTTGCACCTGCTGCGCGCGCGTGCCAGGGATGAGGTTGTCTGCGCGTGCGCTCTGGTTAGCTGCGATAAACTCTGGGATGTAGACCGAGGGTCTTGGGCGCAGGGCCTCCATGTGCGGCCACAGCTGTTCCTGCAGCCCCCAATCCAGCACCTGCGCGCGCCGCATAGCCTCGGCCAGGTTCAGCGAAGATATGTCCCAGCCTGGAGGCAACCCTCAGGCTCAGCCAGGCCCTACAGCTGAGCCCCTTGCGGCCCCGTCCCCCACCCCACCTCTGACCCAGGGCCCCGCCCACCGTCGAACACGAGGTCTTCTGGCGACACCATGGGCAGCAGCGTGTGGAAGGGCACGAACACCTCCTGGCCCTCAGTGTCCAGGCCCAGGCTAACAGTTCCTGCCTGGGTCAGCGAGCCATAGTAGTTGGCCTCCTGGGGACGGGGTGGGGGTGGGGGTGCGCGGAACAGACAGAGTCGTTGAGGTGGGCGTGGTGTGGGAGGGCCTGTAGGCCCCTCCCAAATTGCCCCAAGATAGGGCGTAAGCCACTCCCCCCCAAAGGTCCCTCTCCAGAGCCTGCCACCACCTTAGGTTCCGCTCCCTTAAGACCCTTGGAGTCCAAGCCCCCGGAGACCCATCCTCTCAGAGCTCTCAGAGCCCGTGTCTGCACGGGGACTCCAGCGGAGCCCTAGCTTCCGCAACAACCCACCCGACCCCCACCTTACGACCCGTGCGCGTGGGCCAGGACAGGCGAAGCCGGTTGGCCAGCACAGCAGCGGTGAGCGTGGAACCGTTGTTGCCACCCCAGCCGACAAGCATGACCCCCAGCCGGGGGACCTGCCGGGCGGTCCGGAATGTGAAGCGCGTGGATGAGGGGTGCACCTGAGGGAAAGCAGCGCAGTGAGCCTGGGGCCGCAGACGTTGGGCAATCCCAACCCCTCCCGGCTCTCTGGGTCTCCTAGCCCCCGGCCTCCCCGTCCTTAGCCCACCTTGAGGACACCGTCCTCGCGGCTGACCCTTGTTGTCCGGTATTCGTACTGCGCCTCAATGGCCTCCGGGCTGTATACCACATCAGGGCTCTCGACCACAAACTGGGCTGCGGCCTCCATCACAGCAAGCTAGGGGCACAGGATTGGCAGGAAGCCAGCGGGTACGAGAGCAAGCAGAGCGGACTTTTATTCTTATACTTTATTATTGATTTGAAAGAAGAGTGAAACAGCCATTTGTTGTTCCACTTATTTATGCATTCATTGGTTGGTTCTTTTGTGTGCCCTGACAGGGACTCACAACTTTGGCATGTGGGTACCACTCTCCAACCAGACCCGCACCCCGCCAGGGGCCCCACTCACCCACTCACGGACGTGGAGTCGGTTCAGACAGCGTAGCAGAAAGCGCAGCGCGCCCAGCCAGTGCTCGGGGGCGCGAGGAGAAAAGGTCTGCGGCCCCGCCCTCGCTCCGCCCCTCGCTCCGCCCAGGCTGGTGAGCAGGGTGGGGGTGGGCTCCTGGCGCTGGATTAGGGTTCGAGGCCCTACAGTGCAGTGCCCAGGAGGCTATCACTCATCTGCCCCGGCCGGGTGCTGCTGGGCATCCAGGTGGGCGGCAGACCCCTGCCCAAGCACCGAGTGCGTGGATTCACTTCGCATCACAACCTGTTAGGGCATGCAGCCTCTTAGCTGTTTCATGAAAGAGGACATTAAAGCTGCAAGCAAGCACCAGGCCCCAGTCACAGGGCAGGGTAGCTGGGCCTACGAGGCATGGGTGTCCCTGGGTCCGAGAAACTGTGGGGGAAACTGAGGCAGAGGACTGAACTAGGACGTAAACCTCAAAGCCAGACACTCTTCCAGCCCAGGGTGCCTCCCCCTTCCTTCCTTAGTAGCCAACAAGCACTCTGACCTCTGACAAGGCTCACATCGGGGGTCCTGGGAGGCCAGGGTTTCCCCAGCTACAGCAGGAGGACTTGGCAGGATGAGGTTGGGGGATGGTGGTGGCTGTTAGGTGGGCAGGGGAGAAAAGGGAATGGGAAGGACCCAGTCAGCCAGCTAGGGAGGAGCTGGGCTTCCACAGCACTGCATCCCACTAGCACCCTGTGATAAGGGAGCGTGGGAATCTGGCAGGCGAGTGGGAGGGTTGCTCCCCCAGGAACTTTCCAAAACAAGCGGCCTCCTCTAGCTGAAAAGTTTCCACCACTGGAGTTGGCCCAAAAGGTGAATAGTTGGGAACATTCACAGGAAACATGGTCAGGGCCTGGTCTTGTGGGGGTGGGGGGTGGGGGATCTAAGACTGGCCCCAGGCTTTGCTCTTAATGGGCCCCCAGTGTGGGGGAGTTGGTAGTGGACCAGGGCACCCCCAGCTGGAGGGAACTGAGAGCGAGTGCTGGTTAGGGCAAGCTGCCTGAAGGAGGTGGCTGCTGGAAGGATCTGGTGGGGACAGTGGTCTTGAGATCTGAAGACATGTCTTATCAAGAGATACGAAGAGCTTCCCAAACAAAAACCTGGGGGACTGAATTCAGGAGCAGATGAAAAGGTGGCTGGGGAGGGGAGGGGAGGTGGTGTTGGGAACCAAGGCAGACCCTCAGGGCTGGGGACAGAGAATATGATATAAGTATTTGGGTTTTGTCCTGGTTCCTGGGTGGAGACTGAGTTTGATCATCAGTGGCCAGTGATTTACTCAATCATACCTATGTAATGTAACCTCCATAAAACCCCCTAAACAGTGGGGTATGGTGAAAACATATGCTGGGAAGTTGGCACACCGAACAGGCATGGAAGCCCTGTGCCAGTATCCACATCCTGCCCTTTGCATCTCCTCTCTTTGACTGTTGAAGTATTTTCCTGAACACTGTGAGCCATTCTAGCAAATTACCAAACCTATAAGGGGGTCATCTGAAACCCTGATTTATAGCCAGTTGTTCAGAAATATGGGTGGCAGGGGACTTGTGGCTGGTATCTGAAGTGGGGGGCAGTGTCTTGTGGGACTGAGCAGCTTAACCTGTGGGGTATGATGCCAGCCCCAGAAATTGAACTGTCGGATGTCCAGTTGGTCAGAGGATTGGAGGGTCAAAGAGGGAGCTCCCACCTCCAGGCCAGATGTGATGTCATGGGAATGTGTGCTGAGAAAGAAGGAGGCCCCAAGATCCAGCCCTAGCATTCTCAGGGCAGCGTGTGGGAGGTGCCAGCTGGAGGCTGGTGGGGCAGAGCAGGCCCAGGCGGGCTCCATGGAGGGGGCGGTGCTGGGGTTAGCTGGAAGCAGCTAGAAAGGACTATTCCTCCCTGTCAAGACAACTGCTAGGGTTGCTAGGTGTACAACACCAGGTGAGTGTGCTGCCTGGGGGCAGGTGGTGAGCAACTGAGGACCACTGTCCAGACCACTGTCCCCACTAGACCACAGGCTCTCGAGGGCAAGGGCAGAGTTATCTTGATTACTGCTGAGTGTCAGTACCTAGGGGGAGCCCGGTACACAGGAGGGGCTGTGGGATCCAGGTGCTGGTGAGAGGACAATCAGGGATGTTATCCAGTAAGTGGCAAGGGAGGGGGGAGCACCAAGCCCCTTGGCCATGGTGTAAGTCCTGAGGAGTGGGGAAAAACCCTTTTGGGCCCCCGATGGAGGTGGACTCAGCTTAGGAAGGATGGTCAGGGAACCAACTGCCTGTGGCTGCAGTGCACTAAACAGGTGATCGCCAGGGTGATGCCAGACAGTGTCGGGGGGCTGTGGGCAAGGCTGGTAGAAAGGCGGGGTGGGCAGGTGTGACAGGACAGGAGGCAGATGTCAACCTGGGCGCCGGGGTGTGGGGACACGAATAGTGATGTTATCCCCTGGAAGAATGTGGCAGCCAGGCCAGTGGGAAACAGGGTACACTGTGCCCTGCCAGGCCCACCTGACCTCACCTCCCACGCCCCTCTGATTCCTGAACCTCCCTACTGGCCCCCTGGCCAGTAACCTTGGGAGGCTAAGACCCACATCCCTGACCTCTAAACATTAATCCTGGTTTTACTCTGTTTGTTCCTCCCCAAATAAACGCCCACCCCCCACTGTGTCCTTGGAGGCCAGGACCTCTGCCTCTGGCTCACCTGGAACATGGAACAAGGACGGCCACCCCCGCTGTTGTCCTGGGCCTGTGGGGCTCCAATGGGCCTCAGCATCCCCGTCCTCACTGGGGGCACAGGGGACGCCCCAGAGTGCCAGCCTAGGAGAAACTAACAAGAGTTACTCACCACTGTTTTCATCAGTCACAACTTGTTTCCCCAAATAAGGGTGCTCCCCTCACCCCACATGGTGCTGCTGGAGGCCTGGGGAACCCCCTACTTGACTCAACCCACCCCATCCATACTGCAGTTGGCAGCGGGGGGTGGGGTGGGGGTAGGGGGGTGCAATGCCCTGCTCATACACCTCCTGTGGCTTCCCATGGCCCCTGCCTCCTGTTTCTCCCATTTGTCTTACCTGTGACCAGGCAGTCTTGACCTCCTGCCCTGGCACTTGGCGGGCCCACTGTCTCAGTCAGGTCAGGCTTCACCTGCTGGCCTCATTCCTGGGCAGCAGCTCAGGCAGGCTGTCTAGAATGCCTTCTTTGCCCCGTCACCATGGCCTGATCCCAGCCCAGCCCCACACAGGACCAGGGCCACCTGGCTGTGACAGATACACAAACACCCACAGAGCCTGGCTGCTAGATTCAGTTCAGTGAAATTTATTGTAGGTTGAAAAAATCAGCATTCGCCTGTTTAGTGTACAAAAAGGACACTAGATCTTTTAAGAAAATATTAGGAAACTGAAGATGTGGATGCTTTTCAACTGTAACATTTTGGCAAAAGTGAAAAGTTCTTGTAAACACCAACTCCATGGCTCAAAATAGTTTTCCTCCACAGTACAATATTAAAAGGAAAAAAAAAACAGTATCAATAAGTTAAGACCATAATCAGCTAGAGCTCTTGTCCATCAACCCCCAAAGCACAAAACTTTTCCTAGCTTCATAATTCCTTAAAAGAAAGGGGAAAAAAAAAAAAAAAGGAAATTCAACTGAGAGTCCCTTGACCAGGTTCCCAGGGCAGAGGGCTGGGCCTCCTTAAATGATCCCTTATCACTAGACTGCCTATCCACAAACACAGCTGTCTGCACAACTTGGGGTCCAGGGTGAGCTCAGCCCTTCACCTGCTATGTTCCAAATGAAAAACACAACAACTAGTGAAACATGAAGGATGAGCTTCCTTGGTGCTCTGGCACCCATGGGCCTGTGGAAGAGACTGTTGGATAGGCACAGTCCAAGCCTTCACAAGGGACCTACTCTTTGGGAAACCATTAGGAGATACCCCACAGTTTACACACAGCTGTGCCTGTGAGCACTGCTGCTCTCCCTGTGGGAGTATGGGTCACAGCCACATGCCACCCCACTGAAGGTGGCCCTGAATCTGAGTACAAACCTCAGTTCCCACCATGCCCTGGCGCCTGGGGACCCTCACACACACATACACACATACACACGGCTCCCCGATGCTCTGGAGGACACTATACTAGGCACAGTGACTAAGCAGCAATTGGGATGTCCATACAGCCTGTGCTCACTCTCGGGGGCCCCCTGACCTCACCAACCCCCAGCCCCTCCCTGAGTGCATACCCCGTAGTGGCTCTGCTAAGATGACCCCAGGACCCACAAAGGGACTGAGGAACGGAGTGAGGTCTCAACAGTACGACATAAAAAGCAGCAGCAAAGGGGAAATTGAGAACATGGAATAAAGTCCAGCACTGTTGCTGCATAATGAGCTTGTAGCACAGAGAACCCTAATGCCCCCAACAGCTGAGGGCCTGAAATAGTGGACAGGACAGGGACTCCAGCAGCTGCTCTGGAGGCCAGCTGGAGTTCTCAAAATAGACCTGGGGGTTGACCTGCCCTGCACACCCCCTTAGAAAGAGCCCATCCTTGCTTGGGCCTGGAGGGCCTGGCCAGGCACTCAGCCAGAGTCCACCCAACATGGGAGAGGTGACCAAGGCTGGTCCCCAGCCCCCAAACTTTCCAATGGCATCTGTAATACTGCAGAAAGGACACAGGGCAGCGTCTAGACCCTGGGCGTCCAAGGAGGGGAGGCACAGGTTTAGAAAAAAGATGTTTTCTCTTTCATACAAAAATAGACTCAAGTCTCATGAGCAGTAGCTAAAAGTGGCTGTCTTTGTATAAAACTAGAAAAGGCAGGCAGGCCAGCCAAGTCTTCTGGTGAGAGGAAGCTGAAGCCCCTTGGGCTGTAGTCAGTGAAGAGGTGGGTTTCCTGGGGAGCTTGTCCTGGGCAGGGGCTGCTCTGGAGGTATGGGGCTCAGGTATCAGGACACCCTTGCCTGGGCCTCTGGGTGCCAGGTCTGCAGGGGCTCCCCTGAAAGCCGGCGTTGCTGGCTCAGATGAACGTGTCTTCCTCGTGTTTATTTTGTTAAATAAAAACTTCCCCTTTTTTTTGCTCTCCCCGCTCCCAAGCCCCCAGCTCCCTTGCCATCCAGAAGGGTCAATCCAGGGAAGGCGAGCTCCTGCCTGTGGCCTGGGGCTACGGCCAAGCCTGCAGCTGTCGCTGGTCATACTCAGCAATGAGCCTCTTGATGTGGGCCAGCTTGCTGTGCAGGTACTCACAACGGTGCTTCTCCTGGCTGTAGTTGGTATTGGTCTGCAAAAGAGCAGTGAGGTGAGCTACATCCTGCAGCCACTGGCATCCTGGAGCATGGCTGTAATGGGTGCTGCCCTGTGTGGAGATGCTAGCCTACCGGCACCTCAGGCTTCCACTGCTCCTGCTTACAGGCCAGTGCCCACTGGCCAACAACAGGAACCCCTGCTCCACCTTCGGCCAGTCCTGGGCTGGTGTCCTTCCCAAGCTCTAGGCCCTACCCTGGGAAATGGGATTGTGGCTAGGGTGAGGGTCAGAGGCGAGATCGGCATGAAGCCTCCAGGCTGAGCTAGGGCCTGGCTGGCAGGGAACCAGCTGGCATGGAGGGTACACACATGATGATCCCACAGCTAGTGGCCTTCAGGAGTAAAAGCTGATAATGCCCTGACCAGGCATTGGTGAGGAGCTACCTAACATATCTTCAAGGACCACAGGGAGAGGGCCCGGAGCCCATGAGGCTGGGGGTCCCTGCCAGACTAGTAGCTGAAGTTGGGAACTTTTTCTCCTCTCCTTGACTTTAGGGGTTGTACCACCAAGCAGTGAGAGAGCTGGAGGGCACTAAGGTACATGGAGAGTGGCTGCTCCCCACAACCCCCACAGCGGTACGGAAACTTACCTTTTTGATTTTTCGATATTCCTGCAAAATCTGCCCACGAGTAGTCTAGAGAAAAACAAAAGAGAAAAAAAACAATGACCTCACCTGCAGGAAGCTCCAAGTATGTGTGTGGGGCGGTGCCTCCCTGATAACTCATGACCTGCATGTCACCACTGGCCTGGGGACAACAGCCTCCAGGTGGCCCCGAGGAGAGCTGACCTAAGTATAGAAGAAGGACAGGCTGGTGGAAGGAAGCTGGACCAGGGGGCAAGGTGCAGAGGCCTAGCCTCAGGGATAAGTCAGCACAGTGGGAGGGGGCAAAGAGCAGACAGATGGCCGCCTTCCCTTGTACCCCAGCTGGCCTGTTCACTGTTCAAGGCCAAGCACAGAGGCGCCTGACCACCTGGGGATTCAGGGAGATACTGGGGCACGTCCATATGGGGGCAAGGAGGAGGGAGGATGGGGATGTCCTGGGGGCTCATCTGTCCTAGACTCTCAGAATCCCCATTGCTCTTCCAATCAAGAGTGTCTCCACTGGAAGCCAAAGTGGCCTCACCAGTGGAGAAAGACCCTGATTAATTAGGGCTGGCCCTGCAGTCAGGTGGCCAGCTCTAAAAGGTGGCTCAAGAGGGAGGCTGGTGTCCCAGGGCTGGTGACTAAGACCCTCCCACTGCAGGGAGCTCGCACATGGGGGCTTAGGGAGCCCATGTGCCCTAGGGCAGAGGACAAGGGACACCTGGTACAGGTAGAGGACCACAGGGACACTCCATGCCCTCCTACCTCCCACTGTGGCTTTGATGGCATACAGATGGGCCATGGGGTACAGTGTAGCCTGGCTCTTCCCTTCCTAGCCGGGGTGTCCCATGATATAGGCAGTGGGCTGCAGAGAGGACTCCAGGAACTCTCACAGACAGGACACAGGTGCCCCGACCCAATGTCCCCTGGCCTTCCTGGCTGCTCCAAGTACCATCCCTGCCCCTGGGACTCATATTCCACCTACAGAGTTGACTCCACTGTCCCCACTACAGAGGAGGCTAAGCAGGCAGAGTCTTTGGGCTCCCATGGCAGAGCCCAGACCCAGGCCTGAACCAAGTGACTAGCAAGAGGTGGTAACCTTGCCAGTCCATGAGGGGTCAAAATGCTGGCTCATCCCCTCTTCCCCAGAGAGGGCATCAGCTAGGTTTGGAGGCCTTGGACTTAGCTGGACTTTGAGAAACATGCCCATGTCCCCCAGGGTGGGGTGCAGGCAGGGGGCCCTACCTCGTACTCCTCAGAGCCCTGGGAGAGCTGCCGGAGCTGGGCATCCAGCTGCGTGAAGCGCCGTGTGATCTGCTCAATGCGGGCGTGCAGGTCTCGGTACTCACTGTACTCAGCGTTGAAGTCATTCTTATAGCTCTGGCGCTGCTCTGAGGAGGAGATGGTGGCATATTTTCTGGAAAAGGGAGAATGGCAGGGTTCAAGGGCTGCTGTGGATAGGCTAGAGTGCCAGTGGCTGGTAACTAAGCTCTAAAAGGTGGCTCAAGAGGGAGGCTGGTGTCCCAGGGCTGGTGACTAAGCCCCACCCAGGAAGGGCCCGACCCAAGCAGGAACCTGGCCTAGAACAGGCTGAGTGGCTGGAACTGGCACACAGGGATTTGGATTCAGTTCTGCGGTTGCTGAGCTGCAGTGCAGGGTGAGGGGAAGGCAGGGTAAAGTCCCTGGGAGAAGGGCAGCCAGCCGAAAGGAAGTACTCACAGCAAGTAGTCTGGCGTCTCCGAGGTTGATGTGGGGACACTTGAACTGTTGCAGGTCCCATTTAAACCTACAGAGAGCAAACAAGATCTGCAAAAGGTTCAGGCTTCGTTTTCTGAAGGACATGGAGGGGACGGCAGAGGGGCAGTGAGAGACTGCAGGACCCTGCTGGACCCAGGGAAACTGGGTCCATTATGTGGGCATGTATGTTCCCGAGCCACAGCTATGTAAGTGCAGAGCAACCAAGTCCGTGGGGTGTTTGGTCTCCAGCCATGAAGGACAGATGGCCCCTGGGGGAAACCTCGAACTTGCCTGTACCTCTCTGCTGACAGTGGTCTGAGCTCTACCTGATGCTCCCCCTCTTCCCACCAGACCTGGGACTTCAGGACCCAAAGGACAGCCCCAGAACAGGGCTGGGCCAGAGTTGTGAAGGGGCACACC